TATTTTAAAATAGAGGAACCAAAGTTACGCATTAACAAAAATAGGAGAACCAAAAATGTAATTTAGTCTATTAAAAATGATACTACTCAATAAAATGAGAGAGAGAGAGAGAGAGAGAGAGAGAGGAGGGATCGTTTTACTCTAGGAGTAAGTCTACCTAGACTTACTCCGTTCAATAACTCATGTTCTACATCAAATTTCAAGATCCAACCGTTCAATTTAAAGTTCTTAATGTATAGATCAAATCTGCAAAGTTTTAGAAAATTTAAAAATTATTTGATACTTCATTTCATCAATTCAAATTGATGGATAATCATAAAATTATTTTATACATTGATTCAAATTAATGAAATGAAGTATCAAATGATTTTCAAATTTTCTAAAAATTTTGCAGATTTGATCTATGCATTAAGAACTTTAAATTGATCGATTGGATCGTTGAAATTTGATGTAGAACATGAGTTATTGAACGAAGTAAGTGTAGGTAGACTTACACCTGGAATGAAAGGATCCCTCCTTTTATATATATATATATATATATATATTGTATTTCTTAAATTTATCGTATTTTCCTATGGAGAATTTTCTATATTATTGTACCGGCTCGGTAGGAGGGTCAGATCGGATTCTGACCGAGATGACACACCTACATAAGAGGGTCAGATCGGATTCTAAGCACCTATGTAGAGGGGTCAGATCAGATTCTCTTACGTAGGTGTGTCGTCTCGATCAGAATCCGATCTGACCCTCCTACGTAGGCACTGATCCGATATCAGGGATAAAATCCTATCTTTAATGACAAAATATTCCCAAAAAATTGTCATAAAAATCTCCGCGCTCACGAGGCCATGAGGCCCATGAACAAGAAAATATAAGACCTAAAAACCCTAGAGTAAAGGAGACAAATTACACTCTTGAATGCTCTGACTCAAAGGACTGATCTAGGAGAAGAACCCTAGACCCCTCCTTGGTCCACAAGGTTCTTTTATAATGTAGTGTATATTGTTTTATGTTATGTTTTGTTTCATGTTGTATTGTATTATATTGTTTTGTATAATGTTGGATCATATCCGTTTGTGTTAGTATTGGTGCATGTGCTGGTTCAATTTCTGGTGCATTTTATGGCTCAATTTCTGGTGTGTGTGCTCTATTTTGGTGCGTGTTTGGTGCATGCTCTGATTCGGTGTAGCATACTCTATTGTCTCCCTGATACTCCTCTATTCGGGTGCCAAAAATGTGGGAAGAGGTGTGAAAATGTTGCAAATCTGGTGCAATTTTGGTGAGCATGAATAGTGCTGAATAGTAGCTGAATTTTCCAATTAATTGTGATTTTTGGTTTTGATAGCTAGACTTGTTATTTTTGCCTCAAATTTTGTGTGGTAACTTCTTTCAACCTATATTTTGTGTAAAAAATAGCAGGGGCACATAGTTTGGTCAAGATTTGGAGATACCAAAATTTTTGAAAATAGTTTTCAGCAAAACTTCAAACGGCCATAACTTTGGCTCTGGTTATCGGAATTAGGCAAACATTTTTTTCATTTTGTGTAGGAAAAAAGATCTGTCAAACCCAGACCTAGATTTTCAAAAAAAGGCCGTTTACTATTTTTTTTTTCTAATTTTGAAGTTTTATTTCCCTATTTTTCCAAACTTTTCTTAGGTAGTTCATATAGCTAGGCTTTGAATTTTGCTCTCAAATTTCTTGTGGTAATTTCTAATGATTTTAGGATGATATTGGTGCATTATTTTTTATGTTTTCTGAGTTTTCATGGAAATTCCCATTTTACCCCTATTGCTCACGTGCCTTGATGCATGTGTTGCATGCAGTGCATGACTAGGAGCAACCCAAGTTTTTTGCATCCATTTGATCCTGAGATTGATAGGGCATTCCATAGACTAATTAGAGAGCATATCATTCCATCTTTAGATAGTAATAGTCATAGTGATAGTCATAGTGTAAGTGTTGCATATGATTTGATTCAAGTCAACCAGAAAACATGGGTGAACAACCTTATAATGGACCTCGTGAGAGGACTCTTAGGGAGATGGCTGCACCTGATTTTAATTATGAGATTTTGTGCATTCAATACCCTGAAGAAGATGTTCCTTTTGTGCTTAAAACTGGACTAATCCATTTGTTGCCCAAGTTTCATGGTCATGCAGGTGAGGATCCACATAAACATCTGAAGGAGTTCCATATTGTTTGTTCTACCATGAAGCCTCCTGATGTTCAAGAGGACCATATTTACTTGAAGGCATTTCCACACTCATTGGAGGGAGTTGCTAAAGACTGGCTATATTATTTGGCTCCCATGTCCATCACAACCTGGGATGATCTTAAAAGAATGTTTCTGGAGAAATTTTTCCCTTCCTCAAGAACCACGGCAATCATAAAAGATATATCAGGGATCAGGCAACTTGGTGGAGAAAGCTTGTGATGGCTTCCTCCTTCCATGATTGACGTAGGGTATGAAGGAGAAGGCTTTGCCCTTGATCTAGGCTCACCAAAAGGGTAGACAAAGGTAGGTTTATGGTAAAAGAAAAGGAGGATAGGCGTGAAAAGGAGATGTTGGGCGGAAGTGTTTATGGAATGGTGTTTGGTGCTCACAAGGTTGGCTCACTCCAAAAGTGAATGGAGGCCACTCTAGGGTTCTCACTCTCCAATGGGGGAGATAGGAGAAGGTTAGCCAAAGTAACCTAGTGACTAAGGAGAAGATGTTGAGGCAAGAATTGCTCACTCAAAATCTATATAATCCAAAGTATTTACAAGTGGTGGGGTGTTGGGTATTTATAGGAGGGGAGGCATCTAGGGTTGCATTTGGAGTGTGCATGGCCGAAATTCACAAGGCAAATGCACTCCAAATGACATGCCAAATGAACCCTAGATGCTACTTGGTGACCAAGTTTGGAATCTATGGGTCTAGATTGGCTACATCAAGGTGCATGATATGATCATGCAACCTTTGCCCTCCACTTGGGCCTAAGCCTTTCTATCACCAAAAATAGATCCAAAACTCACCAAAAATGTGTCACCCTTCTAGTGTAATACCCTAGCCCAAATTAAAAACCTAATCATCTAAAGCACCCCATAATACAAGGGTAAAAT